TTTTCTTTTAAGGATATCACAATTTTCTGACTATCTGTGAGGACGAGACTTCCCTCTTCATCCATCTATACTTTTCTTTTCAAACATGTCGATCATAAAAGTGTGTTTCTTTGTGTGTTTGTATGCTATAACGTTAAATACAGCCTTTAAAGACAATGTATTTGCCTTTTTTCTTGTCAGCTGCTCCATCATTTTCACAACGGACAGTTAAAACATATTTTGCTGAGCTCGTGAGTTTAGATATTTCAGCTGAAACCGGCTTTTTTTTAACGCTTTCTTCTTAAGGATATCACAATTTCTGACTATCTGTAAGGACAGGTCTTCTTTTGCTCAAAGGGTGGGTCTTGAACTAGTGGGTTATCTTTAGGGGGAGGAATAACAATGGCATTCTTCTGCAGAAAAAGATAATTGCATTAAAAATAAATATATCAGAAAATGCTTTTTTCAACTCATCAAATATGGAGATTTACGGATTATGTTCTCTTATAAAATCAATATCTTTAAAGCCTAGAAAATGCAATAGACATTTTTCAATATTTCTAGACCGAGTGATAAATAGAGACTTCCCTCTTCATCCATCGATACCTTTCTTTTGAAACCTGTTGATCATAAAAGTGTCTTTGTCTTCTACGATTGTGAAATACAGCTTAATCTAATAAAATGGATATATTAAAAAACGATGTGTATTTGCCTTTTTTTCTTTTCTTAACCAACGTCTAAAACAGAAATGTTATTCATCACGTCCTCTTCGACAAACAGCCAGCCCCGATGGGTTTGGTAGCAATGAGTCCCGGTGAGATAATGGATAGAGACAGTGTGTGTGTGTGTGTGTGTGTGTGTGTGTGTGTGTGTGTGTGTGTGTGTGTGTGTGTGTGTGTGTATTCCCTATTGGACGGGAAAGGTTCATGCTGCCTCATCCGTCTTGCTTGACAAACAAGAGTGATGGGAGGCGTGAGGATTTAGTCTCTAAGCCTCCTCTCATCCTCCTGCAAACAGTAACTGTGACTGAACGAGAGGACGTGTGTGAGATGAAGTGTGTGTGAGATGAAGTGTGTGTGAGAAAGGAAATAACGGAGGTGTCCAGGAAGGTATTAAGTTCATTTCACGTTGCCAGAAAGCATCAAAGTAACGTGCTTTCTGAAGCTTTAAATGATCCTCTGATAAAAAACGCTGCATTATCTGCAGTCTCAATTAGTTCCTGCTCACCTTGAATGCATAAGTGTCCTCATTGCTATGTGTGCTTTTGCTCAAAGGGTGACAGGAAGGGGTTAAAACCAATGGATTATCTCAAAGGGAAGGAATAACAATGACATCCCTCTAAGTCAAACTGAAGGCCCGGGGGCCAAATCAGGCCCTTGGTGGATTTAATTTCGGCCCGCAGGATAATTTCTAATTCCTATTAGATCTGGCCCGCCGGTATATTGCACGCACACCTTCACTCCATCCTGAGGGTCTCCTCCCGCTCAGAGCCTGAGCCCAACATTGATGACCTTGCACCCAAGATGAGATGCCAAGCATACTTGCCAACCCTCCCGATTTTCGCGGGAAACTCCCGATTTCACTGCCCTCTCTCGGTTTCCTCCCGGGGGTCATATCTCTCCCCGCATTTCTCCCGATTTCTGACCAAATCAGATTTACTCACGACTGTTTCCACTCAGACTTTAATACAGCTAATACAGCTACAACATTGTTTGGTTTCCATGGTAGCGCGTCTCTTTAGTAGCACGCGCAACTAAAAGTCTGAGAGGGTGAGGAAGATAGTCACAGAAAACAGAACAAGAATCGACACTCGACCCTCTGCTCACTCCTTTCCTGTAAAATACAGGTCCAGCCCACACTATGCTCCATCAAGGATGGTGCTACAGGCCGCAAGGCAGTGCACTTACAACTACAATAAGCATGTTAATGTTAATCTAACAGCTCCGGCGATCCACTAACCCCTCCTGACTGTTCTCCTCACTGTCTTCCTCTCTGTCAGACATGGTAGCTGATGATGTAGGCCTACTTCTTCCTCTCTGGTTGAGTCTGTGATTAGCTGCTTGCATCCACAAGTCAACAGCTGGTTTTGGGTTGAAAGTCTCTGTTGTCATCTTAGACAAGTGGATGTAATCAAATAAGTATGTGAACATAACCAATAACCTACCATAGCCAATAACAAATGAATGTAACTTATTTTATTTATGTTGTTCATTCATATCTTATTTTACCTTAACATTTATTTATTTATGCATTTTTTTTTATCTCTCCAGTTTTAAAGGATATTTTTGGTTACTGTCCTATAGTATACATTGGAATCATTTCAAACCTGTTTATCCCAATAATTATAAAGGAGTGCCTTGGAAATATGTGTTTACATAAATTGTGACCAAACCGTTTGAACTTAGACTAAAGTGAACTATCTAAACACTCAAGAGTCCTTTACCTCACTGAGCTGTAGTTATCAGCCTCTCAGTCTGACTGGAGAGGACTCTCCCTCCACATCATTGTAGAAACATCTTCTTATATCCGTTAGAGCAGCAAGCACGGTAGCACCAGATTCTAATAACAACAGCGCTGGTACCGGTGCACCCTCCCTCTCTCCCTCTCTCACTCGCACTTTGGCTGTGAGCTGCGGGCGCCAGATAAGCCAACACCCCCCATTTCATCACTTACAGCGCCATCGTACAGGGCAATGAAACGTGTAACCGGGGTGAAAAGGGTGTTACATTTACTTAATTATGAATATTGTTACATCAAGGCCGAAAATTAGGATGAGCCCCAACGGTCAAAAATGTTTTTTTCCCTCCCAGAGCTGCCAGCGCAGCGCCTCCACAGATCTGGCGCCCTAGGCGAATGTCTAAAACGCCAGAGCTACGGCTCGCAAATATATTTCTCTCTCTCTTCTCTCTCTCTTCTCTCTCTCGCTCTCTCTCTCTCTCTCTCTCTCTCTCTCTCTCTCTCCTCTCTCTCTCTCTCTCTCTCTTCTCTCTCTCCTCTCTCTCTCATCGCTCTCTCTCTTCTATGATCTCTCTCTCTATGCTCTCTCTATCTCTCTCTCTCTCTCTCTCTCTCTCTCTCTCTCTCTCTCTCTCTCTCTCTTTTATTCATTTAAGCTTTGTTAGTTCCAGGTTTAATATGTGCAATAAGTTCATTTCAATAACTTCTGCAATAAACATTGAACCATCCGGCCCTCCACTAGTACCCATTTTCTAATGTTGGCCCACTGTGTATTTGAGGTTGACCCCCCTGCTCTAAGTAGTGCTGCAGAAAAAGATAATTACATTAAAAAAATATCAGAAAATGCTTTTTTCATCTCGTAAAAAATGGAGATTTCATGCTTTTTTTTAATCATGTAAAATCAATATCTTTAAAGCCGAGAAAATTCAATAGACAAGCGATAAATAGAGTGGAAAATGATCTGCAAAAATAACTGAAGTGCGACCTTCATACTAGCATTTAAAAAAAATACTTTGCTGAGTAATAACAAGGATTTAAGAGAGGCAAAATGTAATCTGACAAAAGCTCTGAAGCTTCTTGAAAGGCTCTTTTTGCAACCATAAATCAGTGTTTTGGGTAACCAGCCACAGCCATTGGTTGTTTTGGTATCATGAAGTCGAGCAGGAGACTGAACAGATCTCTGCACAAAGACATCTTCAACACACTTCCACTTTCTAAAGCTCAGATCAGAATCAGTTTGAAACTGCATAGAAAGGGTCTCAAGCTAAGGCTCGGGGCCAGATCGAGCTCACAGGACACACAAACTCACACATGCTGTTCCTATGGACGAGGATTAGGGACACGTGTGAACATGTTTTTGAGATCTGACCAAATAAAAGACAGAATTCTTAAATGTTCAGAAAAAAAAGAATTCTCACTTCTTACAAAAAAAAGAAATGTACAAAATAATTTTCAAATGTTTTTTCCAGAAATGTTTTTTGCTGGAAAAGAAAAACTCAGATTATTATTTCTCCGAACTTTTTTTTTCTTTTCTTGAGAATTCTGAGATGAATTTCAAATATATTTAACAGTAAATGTTTCCCTGACTTTAATTCTGCCTTTTATTCTGAATTTAACGTCAAATATCTGAAGTTTCTGAAGTGAAAACAATAAAAATACAGAAAAGATATCAAATGGATTTTTTTTAACATTTTCTATAATTTTCTATAAATTTATTCAGAATTTATTTTTCCAGGAAATGTAAAAAATAATAATTCTGATTCAACCAAAACTCAGATTTATTTTTCAGATTTTCTTATTTTTTTCTGAGATTAAAGTCGCTGATTCTGACTTTAGTTTCAGAAGAAAAAAAACAACTCACAATAATCAGAAAAAAATACAACATTTTCAGAATTCTGAGTTTTCTCTCACAATTTATTTTAGACTTAAATCTCAGCCCTAAAAGCACGTACCTTCTGCCACAGCGCCTCTCTGGAGGCGAGGCTGGAGCAGGCGGCCACGAACCAGCAGTTCCCCAGCTGACCCTGGTGCAGGTCGTGGGCGCTGATGCCGTCCACAAACAGGTGGGGGTCTTCACACAACTCCTATAGAAACACACATGTTTAGTGAGGGGGGTCTTCACACAACTTCTATAGAAACACACAGGTTTAGTGAGGGGGGGCTTCACACAACTCCTATAGAAACACACAGGTTTAGTGAGGGGGGTCTTCACACAACTCCTATAGAAACAGAGGTTTAGTGAGGGGGTCTTCACACAACTCCTATAGAAACACACAGGTTTAGTGAGGGGGGTCTTCACACAAACTCCTATAGAAACACACAGGTTTAGTGAGGGGGGTCTTCACACAACTCCTATAGAAACACACAGGTTTAGTGAGGGGGGTCTTCACACAACTCCTATAGAAACACCACAGGTTTAGTGAGGGGGGTCTTCACACAACTCCTATAGAAAACACACAGGTTTAGTGAGGGGGGGTCTTCACACAACTCCTATAGAAACACACAGGTTTAGTGAGGGGGGGTCTTCACACACTCCTATAGAAACACACAGGTTTAGTGAGGGGGGTCTTCACACAACTCCTATAGAAACACACAGGTTTAGTGAGGGGGGTCTTCACACAACTCCTATAGAAACACACAGGTTTAGTGAGGGGGGTCTTCACACAACTCCTATAGAAACACACAGGTTAGTGAGGGGGGTCTTCACACAACTCCTATAGAAACACACAGGTTTAGTGAGGGGGGGCTTCACACAACTCCTATAGAAACACACAGGTTTAGTGAGGGGGGTCTTCACACAACTCCTATAGAAACAGAGGTTTAGTGAGGGGGGTCTTCACACAACTCCTATAGAAAACACACAGGTTTAGTGAGGGGGGCTTCACACAACTCCTATAGAAACAGAGGTTAGTGAGGGGGGTCTTCACACAACTCCTATAGAAACACACAGGTTTAGTGAGGGGGGTCTTCACACAACTCCTATAGAAACACACAGGTTTAGTGAGGGGGGTCTTCACACAACTCCTATAGAAACAGAGGTTTAGTGAGGGGGGTCTTCACACAACTCCTATAGAAACACACAGGTTTAGTGAGGGGGGTCTTCAAACAACTCCTATAGAAACACACAGGTTTAGTGAGGGGGGGCTTCACACAACTCCTATAGAACACAACAGGTTTAGTGGGGGGGGGTCTTCACACAACTCCTATAGAAACACACAGGTTAGTGAGGGGGGTCTTCACACCAACTCCTATAGAAACACACAGGTTTAGTGAGGGGGGGCTTCACACAACTCCTATAGAAACACACAGGTTTAGTGAGGGGGGTCTTCACACAACTCCTATAGAAACAGAGGTTTAGTGAGGGGGGGTCTTCACACAACTCCTATAGAAACACACAGGTTTAGTGAGGGGGGTCTTCACACAACTCCAATAGAAACACCACAGGTTTAGTGAGGGGGGTCTTCACACAACTCCTATAGAAACACACAGGTTTAGTGAGGGGGGTCTTCACACAACTCCTATAGAAACACACAGGTTTAGTGAGGGGGGTCTTCACACAACTCCTATAGAAACACACAGGTTTAGTGAGGGGGGTCTTGTTAGAGATTTGGAGGGATAACTGGTCCGCTTTTCAAATCTCCGCGCGTTCCTATGAAGCTGGTTATAATACAGGAAGGAATCCATATCTACAAAGTAACCGTTAACAATAATCTACTTTAATGGCAATATGACAATGCAATACAATCATTACAATACAACATGATATATTACAGTTATATTGCAATGCTTAAGGAGTAATGCCGGCTTACTCCTGCTCTAGTCCGCATACTACAGAGCTACTTTCACCCGAGGGCAGCATGTGAAGAAGAGGCCGAACGCCAGGGATCCACCGGAGATATACCAGAGTAAGAAGGAGGGGTTTGGTGTTAGGTCAGCTGGTCATCTTTTCAGGTCATCTCATTGGGAGACGCAACGCAGCAGGAAACGCAGCAGGAAACCAAACAGGCTCACTTTCCAACAAAAGGTCTCAAGGCCTGCATACCTACACCTCCCCCACAGAGCTATAAAACCCTGTTTACTCCAACCAGCCCAGAATGTTTATAGCCATTTGTAGTCCTTACATTTATGAAAGGATAAAACAGAGAAATCAATATAAAACACAAACACAGGTATTGTTTGAACAGTATTCACTTAACTGCTACTATTGATAAGCACCAGAGAAACCCAAGAGACCTCTCTTAATATCACAACCACTGTAGCTCGTTCTAAGTTGAATGCAAATCAGGACATGCTCTCACCTTCCCCCATCTTCCTTTGTCCTCAAAAACACATGTCAACAGGCCCCAAATGCAGCTCACAGTTTTACCCAAATTATTCCCATTTTAAGCTTATCCATAGTTTGCCAACATGAATAAATACAAATATAACTCTACAGTCTTCAAACAACTCCTATAGAAACACACAGGTTTAGTGAGGGGGGTCTTCACACAACTCCTATAGAAACACACAGGTTTAGTGAGGGGGGTCTTCACACAACTCTTATAGAAACACACAGGTTTAGTGAGGGGGGTCTTCACACAACTCCTATAGAAACACACAGGTTTAGTGAGGGGGGTCTTCACACAACTCCTATAGAAACACACAGGTTTAGTGAGGGGGGTCTTCACACAACTCCTATAGAAACAGAGGTTTAGTGAGGGGGGTCTTCACACAACTCCTATAGAAACACACAGGTTTAGTGAGGGGGGTCTTCAAACAACTCCTATAGAAACACACAGGTTTAGTGAGGGGGGTCTTCACACAACTCCTATAGAAACAGAGGTTTAGTGAGGGGGGTCTTCACACAACTCCTATAGAAACACACAGGTTTAGTGAGGGGGGGCTTCACACAACTCCTATAGAAACAGAGGTTTAGTGAGGGGGGTCTTCACACAACTCCTATAGAAACAGAGGTTTAGTGAGGGGGGTCTTCACACAACTCCTATAGAAACAGAGGTTTAGTGAGGGGGGTCTTCACACAACTCCTATAGAAACACACAGGTTTAGTGAGGGGGGGTCTTCAAACAACTCCTATAGAAACACACAGGTTTAGTGAGGGGGGGCTTCACACAACTCCTATAGAAACACACAGGTTTAGTGAGGGGGGTCTTCACACAACTCCTATAGAAACACACAGGTTTAGTGAGGGGGGGCTTCACACAACTCCTATAGAAACAGAGGTTTAGTGAGGGGGGTCTTCACACAACTCCTATAGAAACACACAGGTTTAGTGAGGGGGGTCTTCACACAACTCCAATAGAAACACACAGGTTTAGTGAGGGGGGTCTTCACACAACTCCTATAGAAACACACAGGTTTAGTGAGGGGGGTCTTCACACAACTCCTATAGAAACACACAGGTTTAGTGAGGGGGTCTTCACACAACTCCTATAGAAACACACAGGTTTAGTGAGGGGGGTCTTCACACAACTCCTATAGAAACACACAGGTTTAGTGAGGGGGGTCTTCACACAACTCCTATAGAAACAGAGGTTTAGTGAGGGGGGTCTTCACACAACTCCTATAGAAACACACAGGTTTAGTGAGGGGGGTCTTCAAACAACTCCTATAGAAACACACAGGTTTAGTGAGGGGGGGCTTCACACAACTCCTATAGAAACAGAGGTTTAGTGAGGGGGGTCTTCACACAACTCCTATAGAAACACACAGGTTTAGTGAGGGGGGGCTTCACACAACTCCTATAGAAACAGAGGTTTAGTGAGGGGGGTCTTCACACAACTCCTATAGAAACAGAGGTTTAGTGAGGGGGGTCTTCACACAACTCCTATAGAAACAGAGGTTTAGTGAGGGGGGGTCTTCACACAACTCCTATAGAAACACACAGGTTTAGTGAGGGGGGTCTTCAAACAACTCCTATAGAAACACACAGGTTTAGTGAGGGGGGGCTTCACACAACTCCTATAGAAACACACAGGTTTAGTGAGGGGGGTCTTCACACAACTCCTATAGAAACACACAGGTTTAGTGAGGGGGGGCTTCACACAACTCCTATAGAAACAGAGGTTTAGTGAGGGGGGTCTTCACACAACTCCTATAGAAACACACAGGTTTAGTGAGGGGGGTCTTCACACAACTCCAATAGAAACACACAGGTTTAGTGAGGGGGGTCTTCACACAACTCCTATAGAAACACACAGGTTTAGTGAGGGGGGTCTTCACACAACTCTTATAGAAACACACAGGTTTAGTGAGGGGGGTCTTCACACAACTCCTATAGAAACACACAGGTTTAGTGAGGGGGGTCTTCAAACAACTCCTATAGAAACACACAGGTTTAGTGAGGGGGGTCTTCACACAACTCCTATAGAAACACACAGGTTTAGTGAGGGGGGGCTTCACACAACTCCTATAGAAACACACAGGTTTAGTGAGGGGGGGCTTCAAAAATAAATAAATGTACGGTCCTCAAAGCAAAACAGATCTTAAACGGTTAACGGAGGCAGATTCATGAAACAGAGACTGAGCATATGTCCTGAAACCCACACACACACACACACACACACACACACACACACACACACACACACACACACACACACACACACACACACACACACACACACACACACACACACACACACACACACACACACACACCACACACACACACACACACACACACACACACACACACACACACACACACACACACACACACACACACACACCACACACACACACACACACACACACACACCACACACACACACACACACACACACACACACACACACACACACACACACACACACACACACACACACACACACACACACACACACCCCCTGTGGTTCCTGTGATAGTGTGTGGGATGATGAGTACTACAGAGCTGTCCTCCTCTCTTTTGTCACCAACGAGCCGAGGCTGGATTATTCGTTCCATTATTTGGAAAGTTCTTCGGGTTTTTTATGTCAGCCTGAACTTGAGAGACACTACTTCTCTATGTCTGTATTTTGTGTTTAAAAACAGTTGACTCATGTAACCCGTTCATTTCATGGATCAAATAAAACACAGACAAAAAACC